AAAATTTAGGGTTAGGGTTCGGGTATTAAGAATTTTTTTTTTTTTATATAATATAATATAGAGCTAATATAAGGCCCGATCTCAGTTTTTGTGAGGTTTTTGGGGGTCCTGAACATTTTTATTTAGAATACCCGATCCTGTTTACTTAGTATGTTTTTGAGAAATAGGAATCTAGGTGGTAAAACACCATAGGTGCGTTTTAGTAAAAGTGTTTTTAATTATCTTTTAATTTATTTAATTTAGTTTAATTTTTTTATTTTTTAATTTAATTTTTAAATTTATTTTTTAATAGTATTTTTTATTTTGTTAATTGTATTTTAAATTATTTTAATTTTTTTTAACTTATTTTACTTTATTTTTTAATCGTATTTTAATTTAGTTTAATTTATTTTTTATATGTTTTTTTTTTTAAAAATTATTTATACATTTTTTTTTTTAATTTTTTTTTAAATACATTTTTTTATATATATTTTTTATATTTTTTTAAAAAAATTATTTATACATTTTTTTAATTTTTTTAATATTTTTAATTAAAAAATTGTTTATATGTTTTTTTTTAATTTTTATATTTTAATGTTTTTTTTTTAATTTTTATATTTTAATGTTTTTTTTTTAATTTTTATATTTTAATGTTTTTTTTTTTAATTTTTTTTATATATTCTTTATTAATTTTTTTATACGTTTTTTTTTTTAATTTTTTTTTTTATTTTTTAATTATTTTTTAAATATATTATATTCATGTATGTACTGTATATAGAGAGTAAACAAATCTTGCTAGTAACTATTTCGCTGACAAAGTTGGCTCGATTTATAGTATTGGCTCGATTTAGTATGTCATCAAAATTGGTTGTTTGCAAGTTTTACTGGAGCCATATTTGCTATAATGAAAGGTTTTATACAATAAAAATTAATAAATTTAAATATTTACACATACTGTATATTTATTAAATTACATATTGAAAAATATTGTTATTACTGTTATCGGTGATGGATTTGTTGGTGCGTTCTTAATTGGTTGCTAATATCAATATTTTTCTTGTTTTAGCGTAATACTTAACACTACGATATATAGTGTTCCCATCCATAAACCACTTATATATCTGTCTATTAAATATCCGAAATCCAATAGATAATTGGTTAAATAGATTAATAGATGAAATAATTTGATAAATTATTCGGATTCACTTGACAATTATAATCAGCAATATATTATATTTCCATTCGGGTGAAAATAGAATTTCTCTAATTTATATTGTTGATCTTAGAACTTGTAATCCCTAATACAGTCAGACCTCTTTAAATGCATTGCGACGGGACCATATGTAAAAATTGAACCAAATGTGCATTTAGGGAGGTAAAAATCTATAGGTGTAATATTAGTTGGGCCCAAGAAAAGAGGGATAGGACATGCATTTAGGGAGGTACCAGATAATTCGGTTGGACATTAATGAGATGAATACCCAGATATAGGATGCGGATAAATGGATGGAGAATTAATCTGGATTGAAACTCTTGTGTTTCAAATACAAAACCTTAAATTCGATAAATTAAACAGCAAATAAACGTAAATTACGAGCAATATCACAAAATAATCCAAATATTTAGAGTTAAATATTTAAAAATTATGAACTAATTAGAGCATTGAAAGCGTTTTTTAATAAAGTTAATATGGCAAAATTATTTCAGCGTCTAAAATGTTTTCAATATCCGAAAATAATTTTGACATTCGATATTATAAATTTTTCTTGACAAATAATTGTTAACGAAAACTTCGATGTTGCACTGGATTGAATGGTATGTGTCGTTCATATTCGATAAGGTGCTAAATTTTAAACCCGTATTTAATGTAATAATTTATAGGCTGGAGCTTTAATAATAATTAGATTTGTCAAAATTTTTATAATAAAATCACATCTTACATTTGCGATAATTAATTAAAAAAAAAAAAAAATCCATACTAACCTTTGACATGCTTAAAAATATAAAGCTCGTAGCAAATTTTTAATTTCAAGATTTATTGTAAAGTGATTTATGAAGCGTAATTCTTAATAAAATACAAATTCTTGGCTTTTTCAGGCCTGTTCAGGGTTGGCAATTGGACAAATTGGACATAAAAATTGTGCGAATTAGACATTTTGGCATATAAAACTTTATATTTCAATTTCAATTCAAGCTAAAGTAATTAGACATATAAACGTTGCTATCCCTGGGCCTGTTTAATAGACTGAATTAGTATTGGCACTATTTGACTTTTGTTTTCATAATAACTATATACTGTAATTACCATTTTGTGAATTACTTAGGCTACTGTAACTTTATGATTATTTCTCAAATACATGAGTCTTTTGTATTCTCGCATTCAAAAGTTTATTAAACAAAAAAATAATTCCAACACAACATGAATTATAACAAATTATTTAATGCTATATGATATTCGATATGGGCTAAACTTTGATACTATATATATGTCAAAGAAACAACATTATGTATAACTTGATTGATTAATAAACATTTAATAATGGTTACTTTCTTGATACTTAATGTTCAAGTCTAAAGAAGTTACTACAATTGATGAACCTATAATTTTTTATATTCAGAATAAACTATCATTTATTCAAAATCAGCAATTAAAATTATATTTTATACCAAAGATTCAGCATTTAGAGATTGAATTTAATTTTAGATATTGAACCTAAATCAGGGTCAGTTAAACCGGGAACTGGAAATTTCGAAAGTTTCGTAGAGTAAGCCTTCACTCGGCTCCAATAATAAATGACTGTTTGACTCATTCTGAATACACATTTCAAATAATCAGTAGTACTCATTTTTTTAGTTTCAATCACCTTGTGGAGGAGTTTCAACAACTTTCTGGCCGTAGTTCGCAACTTGGGTAATTCACTTATCAATTAACAATTACAGGTTAATCTACGGAAGATGGAAGTCCATGTAACAGATAAGATATCAATTTTGCTAAGGGCTTTATTTTTCTAAAAATTATTAGGCATTTACACTCGAATTTCGAAGGAAATTTTATCGAAAAGTTTATTATTTACGGATCGAAATTTATTTTAGATGTACAGTAAATAGCCTCCATTTTTTATACTTAATTTTAATTATCGTGTCTGCCGAGTCGTTAGATTACTCTTTGAGTTTTAATTCACTTTACAGTAATTAAAAAATGAAAATGACGAAGTTTAATAATTTATAACATTGACTTAACAAATTTGATTTGTTTTTAAGTTTGAAACTATTGACCGAAAACGAAACATATTTTATTCCAAATGAAATAGAAATCCCGATTTACAAACCAAAAAAAAAAAAAGATTATAAAAGCGAAAAGTAATAGTTACATACTTACAATATTCATATTCTTCCATCAATATTATACATTTACTGTAAATATCATTCAAGGAGCAAAGATGGCGGCGTATTGGATAATGTCAAACTCTTTCAACGAAATCCTGAGGATTTTCTTTGGAACCGGATAAGGTTTTGATTGCTACAGAAGAAGTAGCAATTTTAAAGAGGCTTCTCGCGCGATTCGAAATTTTGGAAGAACATCTTAATTTTCATTCTTAGTATCACGAGACTTTGGTTCTCCCGGAGATATTATACAAGAAATAAATCGGGGTAGAACATCCTTATTTCCTTTAGAAAGAGTTGATTCGGAATATCTTGTATCATAGATTCTGTGAAATGAAATCTAATAATTATAGATTCTCCATGAAGAATCGATATCTTTTCACTGGAAGGCTCTGGTTGTTCAGTACAATTTGGCACCTATATATATATATTTTTAGTACTATTTTCTTTATTTAATTAAACCTTTGAACTAATTGTTCTTCTCGAATTATATTAGTCAGGTCCCAATTTCACGCTGTACTTATTTTTGGTAGCTAACCTAGCCATTACCAGGCTTACTATGCGAATTACAGGCAGAGAACCTAAATCACTTTTCACGCAACAAATGCGAATTACAGGTTGGACAAACCTAAATCAATTTTCACGCAACGAATGCGAATTACAGGCAGAGAATCTAAATCAATTTTTTATATTCACAAGTCAAACTTGACTATCAGAGAGAAAAGAGAGCTACAATAGACAATACTGCCTCTTTCGGCGATTCTGTGTTGTCCTATTGCTATAACATTGCCTC